AGAACGCGCCGAATCGCTGACAGAGGCGCTCAACAAGCACCAGATGGCCTCCTGACGGCCCAACAGGCCTCCAAGACGCCCCGAGATGCCTCCAATAACACTCCCACAAGGGCCCCAAGAACCAAAAACCATGGATGTGCTTTGGCTTTTTGAGCAAAAAGGTTGCAGACCTGCTCTTCCGGCTTCTCCGCGCTCTTAGACGGAGGCCCCCAAGGTGGCCCCAGGACGGCCTCAGACGCCCCCCAGAGGTGCCGATGCAGCCCCAACACAGCCCCCCGAGTCTCGGTGCGCCCCTGCGGCGTCCCAGACGGCCCCCAGATGGGCCAAGAGAGCTCCCAGGGCCCCCGACACACTCCAAGAACGCCCCCAAACGCTAACAGAGGCGCTTAACACGCCCCAGACGGCCTCCCCACGGCCCAACTAGGCCTTTAAGACCACCCAAGATGCCTCCACGAGCGCTCCTGCGCGGCCAATGAGGGCCCTCAGGGGGCTCCAACAGCAGTGCAAGTCTTCATCGTCACGAGAGAGCGCTCGCGTGACGATGAAAACAATGGGGATTATGATGGTGATGATGGCGACGATGATGGCGACGATGATGATGATGATGATGATGATGATGATGATGGTGGTGGTGATGATGATAGATTGTGATGACGGCGACGACGGCGACGACCATGATGATGATGCTGATGATGATGGTGATGATGATGGGAATTAGGGTGGTAATGTTGATCAATGATGATTGATGGTTGCTGGTGGTGATGGTGGTGGTGATGATTATGATGATACGGGTGATGATAATGATGATGATCATGGTGATGAGTATCATGATGGTGATGATGGTGCTTACGAAGATTATGCTCGCGATGCCCATGATGGTGATGATGATGCTGATGATGAGGATTAGTGCGAGTATGGCGGTGATGACGGACTGATGGGTGATGATGATGATGGTCATTATGGTGGTGAGGAAGATGGTGATAATGATGCTGACGATTCTGATGCTGCTGATTCTTAGTATTATGATGATGATGGTGGTAGTGGTGATGATGATGACGAGGATAAGGATGATCGTGATGATGATAATCATGATGACTTGACGGTTATGATGACGATGATGATGTTGCATAATATGATGATGGTGATGATGCTGATGCTGATGCTGGCGACGACGACGATGATGATGATGAAACATATGATGATACTGATCATGCTGCTGATGATGTTACTGATGCTGATAACGACGATGTTGATCGTGATGATGATGCTTACAATGATGATGGTGGTGGTGGGGATGATGGGGATCAAGATGTTCTCAATGGTGTCGGTGACGATGATGGTGACGACCGGGACCTTGACAGTTATAATGTGTCTGACTCTTTTTGCTCTGGGATTTAACGGCCGCGCTCGCTTGTGGACCCCCCCGGCACCCCGGCATGCGCTAGTATGTTTGCACGCAGCGAGACATGCGATACATATCAAGACCGACCCGCAGAGAGAGAGAGAGAGAGAGAGAGAAAGAGAGAGAGAGAGAGACAGAGACAGAGAGAGCCAGGACAGAGACCGAGACAGAGAGAGAGAGAGAGAGAAAGAGGCAGAGGCAGAGACCGGCAAGATATTGCCACAGGGAATATTTGGACACATCTTCGCCTACCTTTGTGGGTCCCAGGGTGCCCCAGAGCTGCTGCGGGTCCCCGGGGCCACAAGGGGGACAAGGTACCTCCGCGGGGCACGCGCTGCCAGGCCGATTTCTTCTTTGTTGCGCCTATGATGCAGCGGCCCCGACATCGGACGATGTGATTCTCGGAGCGCGCGGCCCCAGAGGTCCCGACCCCTTTCCCGGGGGCCGCTGCTCGTCCCGGACGCATGCTTGACGGTCTGGGGGGCCCGAAGGCGCACCCCAGAAGCCGAAGCCGGGGGAAAACGCCGGAGGAGGAGGAAGGGCAGGAGGGCGAGTAGGAGGAGGAGGAGGGGCGAAGAGGAGGAGGAGGATGAGGAGGAGGGGCGAGGAGGAGGAGGAGGAGGAGGAGGAGGGGCGAGGAGGAGGAGGAGGAGGAGGAGGAGGGGTGAGGAGGAGGAGGAGGAGGAGGGAGGGGCGGAGTGAAACAAAAAACATCTCGTCGGAGACACGGGGAGGGACGGAGCCAGCGGCAGAGCCGCGGCGGCGGCCGGAGCAGGGCCGAGCGGCGCGCGGGGTGCGGCGCCCTTCGGCGGCACGCTCGATCTCCTGCTGGATGACCTTCTCGCTCTTGGGGAGCGCGATGACGACTGCGCGCAGCGGCAGGCCCGGATCTCCGACGACATGTCTTCTGAATGTAACGGGGGTGGCTTGCGAAGTTTCCATGGCGTGATTTCTAGAGCCGACCCTGGCGTGGAGCGGAGCGATCGGTCACTGTGCGCAATTTTCTTAGCCTCTGTTGCTTGGCGTCTCTGGGGCTTCTCCTAGATCTCGGAGTCTGGGCGGCCGTTTTCGGGCGGAGCCAGCGGACATGGATCTGGGACGGAAAACTGCCCCCGGGGAAGCGGTCGGGACCTCTGTATGTAGTCGCGCATCGAGAAAATCAGACCAGCGGAGGCTTGTGGATGGAGAGCTTCCCAGTCTACCCCTCTTCGAGGGAGGGGGAGGGCCCCCACCTTCTGACGTCGTGGAGAAATCAAAGTTGGCGCTTGTTGACAGTGTTCTGCATTAGGGGGCCTTGGCCAGGCCCCGGGACCTCTTAAAACAAATGCTTTGAATCAAAAGCCGGTCGCGGGGAAGGGGTCCGTACGTTGTCGGAGGTAGGGTGAAGAGGGGGCGAGGGAAGGGAACGAAAAGAGGGAGGAGGAATGCACGAGGAAGGGGCAGAGAAAAGAGGGGGGAAGACCTTCCAGTTGGAGCCATTCCCGTTGTCTGGGCTTGGGTTGCGAGGTTGGCTTCCCAGGGGCCCTCTAGAGGCCTTCTTAGTGGGGTATCGAGGAGGCGGGTCGCTGGGCCACCGCGGCAGGCGCTGGGCAGTGTCGGCGCACGGCTGCCAGAGTAGGGAGAGTAAGGGGAGAGCGGAGGAGCAACAACAACTCGACATCGGGGCAACGCGAGACTCGTGGCAACGAAACAATGCTCATAGATCTCTACCCGTCGCTGTACCGTGCGGTCCACTCGCACTGGAAGTGAAGGAGTAAGGGAATGAGTAAGGGGAGGAGGGGGAGGCGGAAGGGGAGGCGGAGGGAGGAAGCGGCGGAGGAGGCGGATGCGCAAACAGCACATCGGAATCATGAGGAGCAGGGGAGACGGTAGAAAAGGAGGGGAACAAGGAGGAGTAGGAGGAGCGGCAGAAGATATGATGATAGACGCGGACACGAGTGGCGACCTGGGTTTGTCATCGTAACTGGAAAGATAGAGCGTCACTGTCTCCGAGCCTCAAGGCTGACTTCACGCCAGGGCTCCCGATGAGGAGCATGGCAGCCGCATTTGCCTGCGAGGTCCTCATCTTCCGCCTTCGCCTTCAACTCTTGTTGCATTTCGTATTCGTCGTCCTCCTCCTCCTCCTCCTCCTCCTCCTCCTCCTCCTCCTCCTCCTCCTCCTCCTCCTCCTATCTGTCCTCCTCGTCCTCATTCTCTATAGTATGCTCGTCGTCGTTTTTGCCGTCGCCCTCCTTGTCATAGGCGTTTTGCCATCATGCTGCATATGCTGCTCCGTTCGCTGCAGGTGGTGTTGCCGCCGAGTCTACAGCCGTCGCCCCTCCTTCCGCTGTTCCACACTGCGATCATGAAGAGATACATTCATCTCTGTGCGTCCAAGCAACGTCCGCACGAATATCGATCAACATCAGCATCATCATCATAATCAGCATCACCATCAACATTATCATCATCAGCATCATCGTCCTCATTGTCCTAATCACCAGTATCATAATATGCATCCCCATCCTAATCATCATCACCACCTCCGTCACCATCACCATTATCAACGTCTTCAGTGCCATCACGATCATCATCATCACCATCAACATCATCATCATCATCATCATCATCATCATCATCATCATCATCGTCATCAGCATCGTCATCATCATCATCAGCATACTCCGCATCAGCATCAGCATCATAATCATCAGCATCAGCATGGCCATCATCATCATCAGCATCAGCATCAGCATCATCATCGTCATCACCATGCCCGTCACCATCACAGTTACCATCATCGCCATCACCATCATCATCGTTGACATCGTCACCATCATCGCCATCACCATCACCATCATTAGCATCATCATCACCATCAGCATCACCATTAGCACAATTACCATCATCATCAACCTCAACATCATTATCAACATTGTAAACATGATAAACCTCATCACGATGAATCATTACCACCACCATCATCACCATCATCATCATCGTCATCATTATCATCATGACCATCATCGTCTTCATTCTAGTAACTACCGTTAACTCATCCTCCTCCTTCTCCTCCTCCTCCTCCGCTTCATCCCAATTCCTGCGCAGCTTCCTCCTCCTCCTCCTTATCCTCCTCCTCATCATCATCATTCCTCATCCTCGTGATCTCCTACTTCCTCATTCCCCGCCTCCACCTGCTCCTCGCAATCGTTTGCTCCTCGCCATCACCGGCAATCTCATCATCAACCTCCTCCCAAACTCAAACGATGCCAAGCTGACTGCCAGCCCTGTCGGGCACAGCGGAGGAGAGGGAGCACGAGGAGGCTGGAGGAGGGAGGAAGAGCGAGGAGGAGATGGCGGAGCGAAGAGCGAGGGGGAAGAGGAGAGGGCGAGGAGGAAGAGCGCAGCGGAGGAGCGAAGGGGGAGGGTGGAGAGGAAGGGCAAGGAGGCGAACAAGTCGGAGGAGCGAACACGAAGAGCGAGGAGGAGGGAGGGAGCGCCGGACCGAGGGGGCACGAGGAGGGAGGAGGAATGAGGGGGCCGGGCGCGCCCTCACGACGTCGCGTGGAGCCACGCTGGCGAGGGCAGGCCGCCGGCGCCGCGGGGGGGGAGGGCTCCCCTACTCCATCTCCGACTGGAACTTCCAGCCGCCGCCCTTCTGCCGCAAGTACATCTTGCCTGGTGAGGGGCAGCGCTGGGGGTTGAGCAGGACCCGACCGTCCCGGCATTCCTAGAGTCCTGCCACGACACGTTCTCAGAACCCCAAAGTGCCCTGATAACAAAAACAAGGTTCTTAGAACATATCCCCGATGCGTTCAAACAAGACAGTCTGAACCAGAAATGCTCCGAGAACATGTCGTGCAAACCACACAAGGTTCCTAGAACTTGCTTTGCTAGGCCTATGGGCGAGCCAGGACGCTTCGCCACTGCTTGAAGTGGGGGCCACCTCAGTGGGGAAACAAAAACTCGACCTGGGATCGGCGGTACGATGCCGATAGATCGGCGACGGGCCACCGACAGCGAGCCCGCACTCTACTGGGCGGGGGGGACTCTCGGGGCCCCATCAGTCGATGCATCCCCTCCTGAGCCTGGCCCCCTAACTGAAGGGGAACTGGGACACACAAACAAAAATACACACTAATAAAAATATTCCCAATATTTTCCCATATTTTCTGGGTTTTTGTCTTCCCCCCCCTTCCCATATTTTCCCATATTTCCCGGGAATCGCCGATTAATTGTTTCTGTATGGTTTTTCCCCTCCTGACTAACGCTGCCCCTGACCTGCGCACTGGGCGGGCATCTCCGTGATCGGCTCGCCAGTGTCGTAGGGCGAGTACACGATGCCCTCGGTGTAGTGGTTGTACTTGATGGTGGCGGCCTTCGCGTGCCACTCGGGCGAGGCGATGCCCGGGATCAGCTCCCAGCGGTACATGACGGGGATGATCTTGGAGGCGACCCACATGCCTGAGGCAGGGCGGGCGAAGGTGCCGCCCCAGGAGGGGAGGGGACGTCGACCTGGACTCGGCTCAGGAGGGGAGGGGACATCGACCTGGACTCGGCGACACACGGCCGATCCCAGCGCCTCCTGAACCAGGACATGGCCAGCCATGACACTGAAGGCTCCACCTGGCGAGAGCGCACGCTGGAGACTGCTTCGATCCACGTCTGCAGCTCTCTCGGGCGCCCTGGTGTCCTGGCTGATCCGCGAGGTTCCGCTTTTTACGGGGGTCCCGACGATCGGGCGGCGATGGGACCCACCCGGCAAAACTGCGCTAACTGGGCAGGGTGGGGCACGGGGGCCGAGCCCCTGCAGGCGAGCGCCTACCACGAGGAACGGACCCCCTCTTGGGCACAATGCCCAACAACAAATGTTCATGCCGTACGGACAAAAATTGGCCAAAATGTCAAATTTTGTGCCAATCATTGGCCAAAAATTTGCAAAAATTGGCCAAAATGTACGTACATGTTCATGCCCACAATTGTGCCAATTTTTGTCCGTACCCAAGATTTGGACGCCGGAGATGGGCACGGACAAACATTGGCACAATGCCCAACCACAACTGTTGTCCCAGACCAACAGCGACCGCTGTTGGGCAGGCGGCCTTCTGTCGCAAGTGTGCACAGGCCGCGGCGACACCGACAGCGAGTCCTGCTCAAAAGGGAAAGAACTGCTGCTGGGCATTATACCCATTCTTGCCGTACCCATTTCGTTCGTGCCGACAATAATGGGCCCGGGCGCATGCGGAGGGGGATTGAAGGGCCTAGGAAACAGCGAGCACCTTCCGAACCAGAGCTATTCCACAGTTCAGCGTCCTGACTGCATCGGCGATGAATGCGCCATCAAGTGTCGATGTCCTCCCCCCAATCGGTCAATCGCCCCTTTCGCCCGACCCTGACTGCCGGCCAGGCCGCCCACAACTGGCATGACCTGATCGCGCGCGTGCACTGAAGGTGGGGGAGGAGGGGGGGTGGAGGAGGAGGAGGAGGAGGAGGAGGAGGAGGAGGAGAAAGATGAGCACAAGGAGGAGGGAGGGGGCTGCTATGAAGGAAGCGGGCACTGACTGACTGACACGGGTCCCGGGTTCCTGTTTTTTCCCGGGGGCCTGCCACTGGGACCATCTCTGCGTCCCGAGTCGTTGCTTGACGGCCCCGGGGCCCCGTCGATGGCCCCGGGGATCCCGAGAACGGCGATAAAACTTCCAGAACCCGCTGCTCCCAGGCCCACTTCCCCGACGTCCGCCAGTATGTTTTTTGACAATCCGCGGCCCGAGAGGTCACGACCCCTCCCCTCGTGCGGTTGGTAAGGGGGGGGGCGACCTTCATGGGGGGTGACCTTTGGGGCCCCTTGTGGAGCCAGCAGTGGCCCCACAGGGGCCCCAAAGGACCCCTTCAAGGCCCTGTTCCCCTCTATTTGCGCAACCCACCCTGACCACCCGCCCGATTCCCTGGGGGTAGTTCTTCGCCCCGGTTCTAGTTTTGATGGCCCCCGGGATGGCGGGACACGGAGGCCAGCCTCGAGGAAAAAAAGACACAGACTGAAGCAGCACACCTCATCGGAGATCTGGGTGTTCAACGTCGAGGGCGTCCAAGAGGGGTGCGTCCGAGAGGGGTGCGTCCGAGAAGGGTGCGTCCAACGTCGGGGACGTCCAAGAGGGGTGCGTCCGAGAGGCCTGGGTGTCCAACGTCGAGGGCGTCCAAGAGGGGTGCGTCCGAGAGGGGTGCGTCCGAGAGGGGTGCGTCCAACGTCGGGGACGTCCAAGAGGGGTGCGTCCGAGAGGTCGGGGTGTCCAACGTCGAGGGCGTCCAAGAGGGGTGCGTCCGAGAGGGGTGCGTCCGAGAGGGGTGCGTCCAACGTCGGGGACGTCCAAGAGGGGTGCGTCCGAGAGGTCGGGGTGTCCAACGTCGGGGGCGTCCGAGAGGGGGGCGTCCGAGAGGGGGGCGTCCGAGAGGAGAGGCGTGTGCCTCACGTCGGGGGCGTCCAGGAGGGGCGCGCCGCGTGGCACAGGGCACGTGCGCGGCCCAGGGGGGGGGGGCCAGAGAACGTGTTTAGATAAGAAAGCGGAACCCTGACCTTCGGAGAGATATCATGGCGTCCGCCGTGGCCCAAGGCACATGCGCGGCCCAGGGGGGGTCCAGAGAACGTGAGAAAACGGAACAAGGCGTCCGCCGTGGTGCCGACTAACCCCTAGTCCTCACCCCCCTATATGGACAACCCTGGTTAACCTGAAATCCAACGTAGCGAAAACTTCGCAACATCGTGCACAAAGCATTACCAGAGCACCAGACCCCATTGGTCTGCGCCATCTTTCGAACCGGATCGACACGTGAAGGTCACGGGGCCCGAAACCGGGCGAAAACGCCCGGCTCGAAACAACTCAGACGCCAGGATCAAAGTGCATGGCGAGGGAGAGGATACTGGGATCGGCGCGGGGGTCGCTTGGGGGACAGGGGGCTTATCAGTTGAAGCCGAGGTGGGTTACGTCTGGCCTTACCTTGCTTATAGGTGGTTTAGGGGGGTTCAGATCGGGGCTGGGTGGGCTCCGCCCACTGAGCGGAGAGATCAGGCCCCCAAAGCCAATCGTGGCATCTGTAATCCACTCATAGGCTGGGTCCAGGTTCGGCCAGATAGAAACCACCCTGGCATCCATTCACAACCCCCCTGTCCCCTTGGCCCCACCCCGCGCCGATAAGGCCCCTAACGACCTTGTCCATGCTTGCTGGAAGCTGGCCCGGAAGGCCCTGCGCCGCCGCGCAGGGACGAAGACTGCTCGTGGAGGCTGGGCGAGCCAGCCTTGCGCCTGAGCCAAGCTGGCTTCGGGCCCATATCCTACTCAGACTCCGGCTCCGGCCGTTCCACCTTCACCGACATGCTCCTCCCCAAATCACCGACCTGCTGGGGAGCGAGCTGCGTTGCACGGCCAGCATTCAACAATCGTTCCTTCTGACATTCCCTCTTTTCCTGTGCCCACCTCCTCGAGTTCGCCCTCGTGGCATACACCGATGCGCGTACTGTATCACATCCGTTCCAACGAAGCAGGCCTGGATATCTTCAGGCATACAACTCATCATTTACCTTCGGGATCAGGCTCTGCGCTACAAACCAACCTCTGCCGAATCCTAGAGAAACTCCGCATACGTATCCTGCCGTTGCACTGAGATGTTGGTGTGTATCGTGCTGGAGAAATATCAAAATACGTGTTTCGCTCGATCCGGCAATTTTTCCTAGACATTTCGGTCCCTGGGGCCCGTTATCGGTCCCTGGGGCCATCAAGACTGGATCTGGGACGGAAAACTACGCCCAGGAAAATGGTCGGGACCCCTGGCGCAGCGTGCTTAAAAAAACACATCGTCGAATGTCTGGGTCGAAGTCCGACGTCCCACCTTCACGTCATGCTCCTCCCTCCCTCCTCCCCGCTCCCCTTCCTTCCTCTTGTTTTCACGCGACTCCTCCTCATTTTCACGTGTCCTCCTCCTGCTCCGCCACCTTTTGCTTATTCTTCTCCCCTCCTCCTCCTCCTCCTCCTCCTCCTCCTCCTCCTCCTCCTCCTCCTCCTCCTCCTCCTCGTCCTCCTCCTCCTCCTCCTCCGACTCCGAGCGGGGACCCGACTCCCAGGCCCTCTCGTGCATCTGCCCACCTCCGCTGAGCTGTGGACTCCGTCCACGACTTCTTTCTTTAGGAGGCAGCTACTGGGAGGCTTTTGTCGGAAAGATTAAGGAGGATTGAGCCCCATCTCGGGGCTATTGCGACAGAGTGGGCATCGGATTAAGCGGGGTTAAATCGAATTAAGGGGCATTCAGCGGGACTAAGCCGGATTAAGCGGGATCAAGCTGGATTAAGCCGGATTTCGGACCAGGGCGAAAAAAGAATTTGACCTCCCAGGAGTTGCATCCGAACTGACCTGTGGACTCAGTCCAAGACATCTTTCTGGACTGCTTCTCGGAGGAACGGCGGAGACTTCGCCGAAAACCAATCAGCACGGCGGCGGCCGGGGCGGCGGCAGCGAGACCACGCGTTCGTGTCCGAGCTCTTGCAACGCTCCAGCAGCTTGGTCCCGGCGCACGGCTTGTTTGCCCCCCCTCCTATTGAGGGCAGTTTTCAAGTTTCTCGGGGATGTCCGTTCAAGTCAAAGCCCATCTGAGGCGTCTCAGGAGCGTCCGGGGAGGGGCTCGGGATGCCCTCGGGGAGCGCCAACAGGAGCGCCGGGGAGGCTCGCAAGGATCTCCAGGGAGGGCCAAAGAGAGCTTCAAGAGGGTGCGAAATGCAGTACGATCTTAACAGAAACCGCTGTTGAAGGCTATGTTCGAGAGGCCGCTATGTTGGGGAGGCCGTTTTTTGGGAGTTCTGTTGAAGGCGAAGCTCTCTCGGGCGTGTCAGAAGCGCTGGGCCCCCTCTCTTGGAGGCAGTTTTGAAGCCTATTTGGGCCTCTTGGGGGGTTGAGGGTCTCTCAAGTCCTCTTGTGGGCCTCTTCGGAACCTTCTGGGACACTCTTGGGCTGTCTGGGCTCCTCTTGTGCCATCTTGGGGCCACGCTCAGAGCTCCGTACGTCATCTGGACCCTCATGAAGCTCTCTTCTGGGCATTCTCGGGTTCCCTCCTCGTCCTCCTCATCCTCCTCCTCCTCCTCCACCTCCGCCTCCGCCTCAACCTCCGCCTCCTCCTCCTCCACCTCCTTCTCCTCCTCCTGCTCATCCTCCTCCTCCGCCACTTTCTTGTCTCGATCCTGCCTGCCCTGGATCTTGAGTCGTCAATCGTAGAACCTCGGAGCAACGATAACGATTGTTGTGTCTGCGTTCGGCCTCTGACCACTCGTCCGCCCCCCCTCTGTTGGCCGTCTAGAGGCCTCTCGCTCTCGCCTAGGCACCGGACATCTGCCTGCTGCTGCAGGCGCTCTCGCCTGACAGAAGTCGGGCGTTTCGCTTGAGTGGGCAGCGTTCTTTTCATGATAACAGATCGGGTGTCCTCCTCTTTCTCCTCCCCCCCCACCCCTCCCCCTTCCCGCTGGTGCGCATCGTGGCCCCATCGGCTCGAGCTGGACCACCCCCGAGAGCGGATCAACTGCGATGCCTGAGTGCTCAACCGCGGCGGTGCTTCTCAGCCTGTTCACTTGAAGGCGCCTCGCCAGACTGGCGCAGCCTAGCCCGATACCAGCAAGCAAATTGCCCCGGCGTGTGCCAGGCTCCGCCGACTTTTTCCGCGCGACCGGATGCATTGCAGTTCATGGTTAGGGAGAGAGAGAGAGAGAGAGAGAAAGACAAAGACAGAGAGGGAGAGAGAGAGAGAGAGAGGAAGAAAACCAAACCAAAAAAAACAAAACAGAGTCAAAGAGAGAGAAAGAGACAGAGAGAGCGAGGGACAAAGAGAGAAACGAGAGAGAGAGAGAGATAGAGAGAAAGCAGGAAGGAGGCTAGAGGAGGAAGGGGCAAACCATGCTCTGTTCAGAATGAGAAC